TGGTTGTTGCTCACTAGGCTGCGGAGGATGAGTTAGTTCCGGTAGAGATAAGGGGTAGTAAATACCCTCTAGGCCTCTGCTGTTACTGCCATTGTTGTTTCCCAGGCTATAAGGCAAGGGTGACAGAAGCTTACAGAACTGATTTAAAGCTAAATTGAGTTAATTTACAGGAGTAGCTGAGTGTAGACTCAGGCACAAATACCAGAATTATCAGCACCACAATCCAGCCTTCGGATTCAGTAGAAAAGTCCTGGCTTTGGGCTGGGTGCGGTGGCTCACGCCTGTAATTCCAGGGCTTTGGGAGGCTGAAGCGGGAGGATCGCTTGAGCCCAGGAGTTTGAGACCAGGCTGGGCAACATAGTGAGACCCCATCTCTACAAAAAACAGAAAAATTAGCGGGGCGTGGTGGCACATGCCTGTAGTCCCAGCTACTCATGCTGAGGCAGGAGGATCGCTTAAGCTCAGGAATTCGAGGTTATCGTGAGCTAAGATCGTGCCACTGCACTCCAGCCTAGGCAACAGAGTGAGATCCCAAGACCCATCTCAAGAAAAACCCCCAAAACAAACAAAATTAGCAAAAACAAACAAAAAACCAAAACAAATACCCTGGCTTTGGCATCAGACCTGGGTTTGAATCCAAGGCAGGTGTGTGAATCGCTGCTGCCGCCTGGCTGTGTCCCTCCTTTCCTCATCTGTGAAACGGGACACTTGTGCCCAGGAACTAGCCTAATCATAACCAGCCCGGGCTGAGCCCTGACTTTTTTCCTCTAGGACAGAGACGCCCACAGAGGCCACAGGGAAGCCACAGAGAGACAAGGGTGTCCCTCAGGAGCAGCTGGCGGTGCCTGATGCGGCCTGCAGGAAGCGGCCCCGGCCTGAGAGCCCCCCAGCACAGGAAGAGGAGGCCCCTGTGTCACCCACCCAGAAGCCAGCCCCCCAGAGGCGGAAGAGGGGCAAGAAGGCACGGCTGCTGGGCCCCACGGTGACACTCAGTGGGCGCGAGTTCAGCCGCCAGAGACTGCAGGCCTTTGGGCTCAACCCCAGACGGCTGCACTTCCGCCAGCTGGGCCGGCAGCAGAGGAAGCAGCAGAGGCCCAAGGGTGGCTCCTGAGCGCCAAGGAGCAGGCAGGGCCCCCGCTCCTCCTTGCAGATCAAGCCCCGGCACGGATCCCCTTTCTAGTGACGAAGACTATCTGCCACCAGAACCTCACGTCTACCTTGGGCAAGGCGATCAGCCCATCCTACAGATGTGGAAACTGAGGCCTACTTCACAAACTTACCCAAGCGACTCGGAAACCTCACCTTGAGACACCTCCTGGACCCCACGTCCCCTCAGAATGCTAAGCCCAGCCACAGCCACGTTCAAGTCAAACAGCTTTATTAGCCCCCCGGTGGCCACAGCTCCCCTAGGACAGGGGCTTCGGGACCAGCCAGGGGCCTGAGCGGTCCAGTGCAAACTACAGTACTTGAGTCAGGCCCTGAGTGGGTGCCTGGGGGTCTGCCCTCCCTCTCTGCCTTGCCAGGAGGGCCTGGCTGGTGGGAGGCAGGGGCACGGGCGCTGTCCCTGGCTGAATGGCCCCAGCCTGGTGGTCTCCTAGACTGGTTGCAGCTGGGCTTGTTGGGGGCTGAGAAGAGGAAATCCCATCACTGCCAGAGTTCAAGTGCCCACACCCACCGTGACATAAATAAAAAAATAAATAGTGATGCATCTTTCCCCCCATCCCCTCCTTTTATAAAAACACAAAGTCTTCGGAGCTTGGGCGTTTGGCCTTGAGGAGCCGCCCTGAGCGAGGGAGCCGCAGCGTTGGCTGGGAGAGCTGGGAGCAGAGGTCATCCAGGCTGTGGTCCTGAGCGTGGCCTTCGGCCAGGGTGAACATGGGATACCGCTCTGTGGCCGAGGAGGAGCTGAGGACCTGGTGGGAGGAGGCCCAAACACAGGGAGCATGCCATGTTAATCGTCCTACTAGGTATACTGAGCACCTACCTCTCCAGGGTGGGCCAGCCAATCAGCACCTTCCATCCCCTAGCCACTGTGATTGGCTCAGTGGTAAGCATGTGACCCAAGCCGACCAATGAATGACAGCCTTGGGATTTTTGCTGGAGTTACTGTAAAAGTGGAGTCCCCTTTCCAATGAACTGGAAGGGGGGGTGCCCAGAGGTGCTGGAGGCCATCTCTTGCCACCGCCAGGATAAAGCCCTGATTAGAGAGCAGAGCCAAGAGACAGATGGGTCCTACCACTTGAGCCCCTGGATGCAGCTGTCCCCAAGGTAACAATGCCCCCAAGTTTTTGGTTACATGCCCCTTTTTTGGTGCAATCAGTTAGAACTGGGCTTTTGTAGCTTGTGTGCAGGATAACCTTGACTGAATAGTCAGCCTTGGCATTCCCTCATGTTCTCAGAAGTGGCTATTATTCATGTCATTTCCCAGACCATGACACTCGGCCTGGAAGCAGCGCCCCCACGTCTGCTGGACTCGAGGTCTGTGTTCCTCTTTCACCCCCTTCCCTGCCCTTGTCCC